ATCTATGGTGAAGAAGCGGAGGAAATGAGAGGGGAAAGGAAGGACTCGTAAAAGGGGCAGAGTAGATGGAAAAATCAGGTTCATTGTGACAATTTGCAATTCTCTTTACTGCGTGGCTGGCGCAGATATGGCGATGACGGCCCATCGACAATAACCAAGCAAAATCAATCGATGTATTGTTAATGAATGAATGTAGCCAATAGAACGATCTGTACCCGGAAACCATGACCCGTCTATGTATAGTAACTGTTGTACTTGATGACGATGCGGAAAACTATCTTTCTGCCCGATTGATTGCTTGATTCACGACTCCTTAGGAACATAAATTATAATTGCTGACACGTCCTCACGCACTGGCTGCCTGGCTGACTAGCTGACCGGCTGACTGACTGATTGACTGAGTGATCAAATGTACGAACGACCGGACGAACACACGAACGACCGGACGGACGCATGAAGGAACGAACGAACAAATGAATGGATATGAATTGTAATAGAATGGATATGAATTGTAATAGAATGAATGTGAACTGTAATAGAAAGAGTTGTATGAACAATGAATGTTGACGTAGCGAATGAATGAACGGCATGAGCGGAAGTATCACTCAAGCCAATGACTTTTCGTCGCTTTCTATCCCAAGAATTTCTGAGATTGTATAGTAGCTTGCTCCTGTGCGGATGATGATGATGATGCGCAGTCTCGCGAAGCCGGTTTGGCCTCGAGTCGTCGCTTTCTATCCCAACAATTTCTGAGATTGTATACTAGCTTGCTGCTGTGCGGATGATGATGATGATGATGATGATGATGATCATGATGCGCAGTTCCGCGGAGCCGGCTTGGCTTCGAGTCTACAGAATCTCACCCATAGTTCTTTTGTGGTGAAACCTTCGATGACCTTCGGAAGAACCCTGGTTTGACAAATTACAGCAGTGTGATCGTTTCGTGGATCGCGGAAGGAAGGTGGGGTGGGCGGCTAGGGAGGAAGGCCCCGGCAAGGGGG